CGCTGGGTCAAAACAACCCAATTGCTGGGTTTGTCCCTATTTTACCCAGCACTGGGTTATATTTAACCCAGCATTTTTAGAGTGTAGGGAGGCAAGTCGCTAGGTTTTAAAACAGTACTGTAGTGAAATCAGCCCATAAATGACTTTGACTAGTGTGCTTGTAAAATCCTGCGTGAAACAGGCAGAGATCCTTCCTTTGACATGAGAGAAGACAATGTGAGGTCTTCAGATGCTTTCCTCTATGGAGGTCTGACTGGAAAGGATGCTGGTTAAAGGAAGAGGTGAAGTGTTCCCCGGGGCAGATGGGAGGAAGGGGCAGCGGGACATTAAATCACTCCAGATGGGGCATGCTGTCAGAGAAATGCTTCCCAACTCCCGCTGGGAAAGAACTTCCTTTCGTTATCTGAAATGCTCAGCAGGTCTGAGCTCACTGGATAAATGATAATGTCTGTGAGCATCTCAGCACATCAGCTTCCAGTCATCATGTACTTAATGTTTTTAGTGAAACATTTTTACACTTAAAAAATGAGGCATTAAGTCATATTTAGGGTTGCAAAGGGGTGGAAAATTTCCGGTAAATTTTCGGAAACTTTCCAAAAATCCCTGGAATATTCAAAAAAATCCTGAAATGTTTCCAAAATTTCTGGAATATTTCCAAAATGTATTGGAAATTTTCCACCTTTTTGCAACCCTAGTCATATTGAGTCATAATCAAAAGTATTGATTATGAACTTTGTAAGGAAAAACATTTAAGTAGATTTGAATAACTTTAAGAAAAAGTTAAGGCAACTCAAATATTTGAGTAAGCCAGTTTAAAAACAATATTTATATTAATACAGTAAACTTTTTTCATTTGAATTCACTAAATATTGCAACTAACTATTAGTCAAGTCAAGTCACCTTTATTTTTATAGCACTTTATACGATACAGACTGTTTCAAAGCAGCTTGACAGTATTAAACAGAAAAGTCAAATTAATGATGCAAACTTCAACAATGAGGCAAATCCAAAATTCTGTTATAAAGCAGCTGTAGCAGGATAACTTTTAGCACACACGCACACACAAAATAACACTTATTTTCAACATTTACTCACATTTACTTACATTATACACTCTGTATCAAACCATGTGATTGTTAATCATTGCCAACTTCTTAAGTTGTTGTGATAAAATAAAGAATACTGATAAGGATTGAGTAATAATTTTAGTTCTTAAAACTGATCAGTATAATTACGATTGAAATCAGGGTTATTATAATAAATTAAAACTGAAATTAAAACCCATAAAAAATATTTACAGCTAGTTACCAAGGCAACATTCTCATTTTGATTTAGTTTAGCTTGATGTACTAAAATAACTAAAAATAAAACCAAAATAAATAATATGAAAACTATATAGACATATTTAAAAAATAAATAAAGACAACAAAATTCATAAAACTTTAATTGGAATTAAAATGAAAACTGAAAATATAAAGATAAAAACTATAGTATCTCAATAACACTAAAATAATGCTCATTGAAATGTGTATTAATCATTCAGTTTGTTAGTCAGATACTAATGTACTAATGTTGTTGTAAGTGCAGTAAACAAGTCTGTGATGGAATCAGGTGATATTTAGCTGAGAAAGCTGTGAGATTCACTCATTTTCTTGTTTTCTGTTTGTCTGCAGGTATCTGAAGGTCGAGGGAACTGCACGTGGCACAGGAACCCCAAACCCTGCACAATCCCTCAGGACAAGGAGAGCATCTTCCACACCATTTTTGCTTTCTTCACCAAATCAGGCAGAAAAGTTCTGGTATGACAAAGCACTTATTGTTCATAGTTCAGAGGAAAAAGCACAATGTGTGAAAATGGCATTAAAATGCATTTAGCACTTGGAAATAAGCCATATTTGCATATTTAATGTTGTTTGCCTGGCATTTTTGTCAATGCATGTACATTAGTGCAGTGGATCACAGCATTTAGTGCCCCATAAAACAGGAGTTTTTGTGCTGAAGGGGTGAATCTTATTCTGGTATCCTGTGTCAACAGGACTGTGACCGGCCTGGCAGAGCGTGTCTTACTATTTCCTGCAGTCTGAGCTCTCAGGCTAAAGAAGAAGCCACGAGTATAGATGTGCAAATGCTACTGAACACTGAAATACTACAGAGGGTGAGTTATTGCTGTAATGAAGTACAAAGTTATTGAAGTGTCAATGCAAGTCTTCAGAGTGTGTGATTAAGACTTTTAAGTGTTGTAGAAAGCAGATAAACATCAAATTTTCATTTTTGGGTGAACTATCCCTTTAAGAGCTGTGCTTGCACAGGTTCTGCATGATTCTCTTCACTAATATCCTCTGCATCTCAGTCGGGCTCAAACTGATAAGCGATATTAACGATGCCATTGTTTACAATACAAGCAGAGCACATGCTGCTGAGGTGAGGGACGGGAAGTTTAGACACGCACTAGAGGGGGTTTAGCCAATCACAACATACTGGGCTAGCTAACCAATCAGAGCCCTTCGCCTATTTCTGAGGGAGGGGCTTCATAAAAATAGGAAAAGATCAGCGCGTTTCTCAGAGAAGAGACAGAGCGGTGTAGAATAAAGGTAAACTATGTGAAAAATAATGTGTTTTTTTTTTTTAAACGAAGCGTTAACACATGTTAGATGCACCCCATAAACACAATCAAGCCTAGAAAAAACCCAGTGAACCACCCCTTTAAATGATAAACCTAATCACAATTTTAAAAACTAATAAACTTTAAATACATTTTAAATCATTTCAATACATTTCACATTTAATTTGTAAATACATTTTTTAAATAAATTTTACAAATTTAAACTTTAAAATTATATAAAAAAAATTGAAATTATGTACTAAAATTACTTAAACCGAAATAAGCTTAATATATACTGGGTATATCTCATAGAGGCCAATTCCTAATAGGGCTGTTAAAAGTGTCTGCGCCCCCTTCTGCCCTCAGCACTTAGGAAATGCATCGGTCCCAAAGCAATCCGTTATTAAGTCACACACGACGCTCCCTGGGGCAAACACTGGACACGCAACTCTCATTTACAAAAGGCATTGCCCACATTTAAGCATTAATACCGCACAGTCTTGTAGCGTGTTTCAACTGTATCGTTTCCATCATGTTCACAGCAACTTGAACTAATTGGAATTGACAGACCAACTGTGAGCATTAAACCTTTATATGCTGCTGTATCATTAGTTTAGTCAGCTGAACTCAACAAATGCTCGAGATATATTTAGTGCAATATTTATATCTTACACTTTAGTTTCCATTGAATACAAATAAGTTTGATCATAGAGAAATGTTTATCCCAAAGACAGCACGCAGAGGAAGATATTACAGCTCTTTTATAGTTTTCATTGCTGATGTTAGTATCTTGCATTGTTTTTATTTTTTAACTAAAACAATTAAAAGTCAAAAGATTTTGCCTTGGCAACTAACTGAAATAAAATAGGTTTAGGATTAAGTACTAAAATTACTAAAACTAAAACCATTAACTCTTTCCCCGCCATCGACGAGTTATCTGGTCTTTTAGAAGAAAACGCTTCCCCGCCAAAGACGCGTTTTTACGGCTTTTCGTGTTTTCACTGTTATACACTCGGGGGCGTTATTACACATCTTCTGAAAAAGGACAAAACCTCCCGAACAAAAACACACATGAACAAGACGGAGAAACGAGCGATCTCTTATGTAAACAGATGCATATGAAAAATAATGCGATCAGCAATAGACAACATATAAATGAAAACTGCATAATGTAATAGTAAAATGGTTGATCCAGGAAGTGGTATATATGTCTGTGCAAGCTTTGGAGGTATTAATGGAAGCGATTTACTGGATTTAAGCTTTGATAATCGTACTGAATATTATCCAGATGTAGTTTTAGATAAAAAATTTATTTTGCTCAAAATTATGCAGTTTTTATGAAACCTACCTATATTCAAGTGTTGATTAAAAAAGAATGCTGTAAGCTAGAATAAATTGGATTTGTTTAAAAGTAGAGGCTCGGATATTTATTTTGGTGTATTGCAAATTCAAATATTCATACAGCAAAATATACTGGAGGCCATGACATTTTTGTGAAAATCATCAAAATCTCTGGCGGTGGCTGGCAACCTTTTTCAAAAATGCTGGCGGGGAAAGAGTTAAAAATAAATTAAAGCTAAATAAATAGAACCCCCAAAACTATTAAAAATGACAGAATATAGAACTGAGATCATTTGATATTAATAGAATTTGATGAAAAATATTTCAATTCATAATTGAGATTTTTGAGATTTCATTGCTCAAGTTAATATATTGCATTTTCTTATTTGAAACTCAAACTAAAACTAGCAAAAGTAAATTTTGTTAAGTGAAATGAAGCTGAAATAAAATGTGAATATTAAAAAGAAAAAGTAAGACAACTTGTTATCTATCTGAAATAAAATAAGCTGAGGTTTAAGTTCTAAAACTGATCAAAATAAAGCTAATAGAAATGTTAAAGAATTCCTAAATAGAAATGTTAAATACTAACGAAAATGACAAAAGTATAAAAAAAAATAAACATCTTATCAAATATTATAATAGTAAATAATACTAAAATAACACTGGTATTTTGTCAACTGAGCAGTTTCAGGTCTCTTCTAAACTTCATCAAGTCTTATTTGTATCTCATTACTGTTTCAAAGAAGATATTATCTCTCATTCGTGATTTTGATTGAATGTGTTTTTTCCGTCGAGCCTCACGTTCAAGAAGTGAAACTGTGGCCAGAAGCTGAAGCCAGACTGGGACTGGGATTTTCTGCTAGCTTTTCATGCGACATTTCCATCCAGATCCATTGAGGGAACTGTTTGCTGTGTTTTTGTGGCAGTACATTACGGTTTCAGAGGTGAAATTCTTCCACATTTAAGGGTCAGCGAGCACGTATGCCATATAACACATATTGTGCATGAAACTATGTGTATGTATGTTATCCAGAGGCAATGGTCATCCATGGTTAAAACAGACTTCACATAATGACGTCCAGTCCAGTAAACAAATGAACTCCTCCTGGCATTCTGTGATGATCTGGATTAATGAAAACCTTCACAGACCTGTGTTTGATTGATTTGTTGACTTGAAGAATGAAATCTCATTTCCTTTGGATCGAGTCAACACCCAATATACTGTAGACTCAGCACAGACGTTATAAAATTCAGGAAATGACACGGTGATTCATACAGTCTGTAAAGTCTGATCTTGGGTCCCGCTGAGAAATGACGATCTGTAATATGTTTATTTAAGTCGGTGAGTTTATGCTGAATGTCGTGTCCCGTCTGGTTCGTGTGCGTATGTTCACTCTCTCTGTGTTGTCCTGCAGCTGGTGTTTGAGGCCCTTCACAGTCAGGAGCCCAGGGGTTACGTGGTGGGATGGATCATCGCCATCAGCCTCCTGGTGGGAATCCTCATCTTCCTGCTGCTGGCGGTGCTGCTCTGGAAGGTAGCGCTTCAGACAGACACATGTTTCTCAGTCAACATCCTTGTTGGTTCTGGAGCAGCGTCCGGGTTTGCTCTGGATTTAGGGGCTTAAACAACATTCTTATAAGCCTAGATTTAGGGTTGGCAAGAGTGCAGCGACCATTATAATACGTTTAAAAATGTCACCACCCACACTTTTTGGGAACTAATCATTATATTTTGAGAGTTCCGGTCACTGTACAATGAAAAAATAGGAGCCGTCCACATACTGTAAAACAATGACTTTAAGACCAAGCAGAAGCACTATGGATGTTTATCAAAAAAGAAATAAAATCCACAATATCAAGAATTAATTTTGGAGTAATTTTCGACATTCGTGATAGAACTATTTTATAAGATTTACTTTTCAAAGTAATAATATATTTATATGTTATATATGTGTGTTATATATTATATAATAACATAAAAGTACATTTTACTATAAAATATTAAGATATTTCTGTCAACATTTCTTCAATTTACATAATCAACAAAGTCATAGTAGTAGAAATGGTAATAATATGAATAATAATAATAATGATTAGTATTATTACTACCACTACTATTAAATCCTTGCACTTTGTCATTATCATTATTATTACTTTGTTATATGATAACCCTTAAAATAATAATAATTATTCTAAGATATTTTATATCCATTTTTTCACAATTTAAATTAAAAATGTAAACAATTAAAATATATATATTTGACAAAAAAAATGCAATGGTGTGCTGTGAACTTACTGATATATTTTCAGTTAATTATATTTGTAAATGTACATTTTTTTGAAAAATTAAAAATGAATTTATTTCAGACGATAAATTTGTTTTAAATCACAAATTACAGAATCCAGATCGATAGATAGACAGACAGAATTGGTGAAAAAAATTACAATTAAAAGGTAGCTTCTCTGTAGAGTTTAGCTGTAAACAAAGTTCTAACAAACATGTGGAAAGCATTTCCTTCCGCATTAATGACATATTTAAAAATGTTTAAACATCAATATCACATGATATGAAAACATGTATATTGTTATACTATTACTGCCCACTAACTGCCATACTATTCATGAGCTTGGCTGAAAAGGTTTTTAATGTGCACCACACACTTTTCAGATCATCCCTAATGCCTTGAGGATTGAGATCATGAGTTTAAACAACATAATCAACTTGTCATTTCTCACTGATTTTAGGATTAGGGTCATATTTAAGGATGATTGCTTGATAGAAACATTATTCCAGAACCAACAGAGAATATTGAACCATGCAAATATACATCAGACTTTCTACTAGATATCCGTCCTCAGACTTCCAGATGAGGCTGTTCGCTTGTCTTTTCTCATGAGACCGAGTTCAAATCACATCATGCCTGACAGCAATTCAGCTCAGCAAAGTCAGTGTGAGCGGAGAATGTGACCCGTCTTGAAAGAGCAGAACCACCTGCTCGTGTGCAGCGTCCCGTTACAGCTAAATTAGCATCGGGCTGCTTTTAATATCCTCTGCCAAAAAAAAGGCAGAGTAAGATGGATGCGGATGAATTGTTTTTGAAGTAAACAGTTTTTACAGTACATTAGTGCATGAACATAAAAAGAAACAATGAAATGATGCAGATTTGAATTAGTGCTCTCTGATGGTAGTTCAGTTTTGAAAGATATTCCCTCAACTGGACTTGTCTCGAGTCACATGTCCCTCATTCACACACTACTGTTGTTTTTCTTGGCCTGAGGGGTCAATAGAGAGCTTTCGTAAGGTAACAAACACAACGCCGACAATAATCTACACGTACACATAAAAGTGAACCGAACGGATTTCAAGGCTTCTCAAACAAGTCCTTCTTTTCCTTTCCACTCCATTACTTTCCAGCGGGAATACTAGAGCAAATCCTGGAATGTTGGTGTAGGGATACTTATCCCCCCAAATCCCAAATCTGCCAAAATAAACTTCCTCAACAAGAGCTGGACATGTCCAGCTACTCCAGCGTCAGGAAATGCCTGGAGAGAGCCGGGGTCTGAATCAATAAACCGCATTCAAACTAAGACAAACCTGTTGAGTCACAGGAAGAGGAACAGCATATTCTTCTTTACAGTAGCACTATCGGTGTCGCCCATCCCACTAGTTATCTGACTCCCACCCTGTCCATTGGCTCCAACTTCACAAAGGGATAGTTCACCCAAAAATGACATCATTTACTTGCTCTTTCTTCTGGGAAACACTAAAGAAGCTCCGAGCCAGTGTTTTCAATACAATGAAAAGCACCATATTCAATATATGTTCCAGATGTTCTCAAGTCGTATGATAAACTTGTGTGTGTGGCAAACTAAAATATTTTTGCATTAATTCTCCTTCGCTGTAGCTCAAATTTCATTCGTATTTGAACATATTCAGACATTCAATCCAGACATCAATTACACCTAATAACTTTAGTAATGTGAAGTTAGAGGATGTATAAATATTTTTGGATACTTGTATATAATAAAGCATTCCTCTTACAGTTTAAATATCATCAGTCATGAGGGATTTCATAATGAAACCTTAACTTGTTTTGGGTCAAGGCCCCAAAAATGGGTGGTATTTTCATATACTCTTTTTAATTTGATTAAATAGATGGTTTAATGGCCATATGTCTGATAGCAGGATTGCATTAGGTTGGGTGTATCTGATCTGCCAGTCAAAGAAGTCTCTTCTGCTCATCAAGGCTGCATTTATTTGATCAAAAAAAACGTAAACATTGTTAAATGTTATTGCAATTTAAAATAACTGTTTGTAATAGATTTTAAAATGTAATTTATTCCTGTGATCAAAGCTGAATTTTCAGCATCATTACTCCAATCTTTAGTGTCACATGATCCTTCAGAAATCATTCTATTAACAATGTTGAAAACAGTTCAACAGCAAGGTAACGTGTGATTGGAAAAAGGAATATAATTGTGTCATTTGTCCACTGTCCCACCCTCTATGTCGACACGCAGCAATTATTTTTGTGTTTTGCAGATGGGATTCTTCAGGAGGCATTACAGGGAGATCATAGAGGCCGAAAAGAACAGGAAGGACAGCGATGAAAGCTGGGATTGGGTCCAGAAGAGCCAATGAGAGCTTGGATTGGGTTCAGAAAATCTAATTCCCCCGGCTCTCTCCAAAGACCCAGACCCTCCAGCCTTCCATATGTGGAAGAAAAGAATATTCTCCAGATTTTTCGGAGGTTTGACACTTTTTGTTTGTCGTTGATGGTGATCTAGCTGATGTTGGAGGTGACCGTGTGGCCTGCCAGAAGAGACTCGCAGTGGAACTCCACTGATCCCAATGGGACAGGCCTCTTGCCAGGGGGTCTGAAGAGACGGAAAGAGAGACTTCCTGGAACGAATGTGGATATCGTGTCAATACTAGCAGACAATTACAACCCTCAGGGCGCTGTTGAAAAGCAAAAATCTATTTTTTATAAAATGTATTCCATACTGTATAGAAGAGAGCTTCAAGAGTTGTTTTTAAAGCACTGATGACTGACACACGCCAAAGAGTTGATGTTATTCCTTCACAGTGTTCTGGTGCACATCAGTTTTCAGATGAACCTTGAAGATGGATTGTACCTCTTTGTCCCCTCAAGATGTTAACTTACAAAGAATGCAAAGCAGAAGTTTGTGTCCTTCATTCGAACGACTCACGAGTTAAATGTTGCATGAACAAATGAAAGAGGAGATGCAAACCAAAGTTGTTATTGCTCGAGTTGTTAAAAGAGTAGTTCACCTCAAAATGAATGTTTGCTGAAAATGCACTCATCCTCAGGCCATCCAAGATGTAGATGAGTTTGTTTCTTCATCAGAACAGATTTGGAGAAATGAAGCATTCCATCACTTGCTCACCAATGGATCCTCTGCAGTGAATGGGTGCCGTCAGAATGAGAGTCCAAACAGCTGATAAAAACATCACAATAATCCACACCACTCCATTAAAAGTTAAAATGCCTTGATTAATTTTTTTAATTTACAAATGCAGCTTTTCACTTCTCAAGACTAAAGTGTTGTGGATTACTTGTGGATTATTGTGATGTTTTTATCAGCTGTTTGGACTCTCATTATGACGGCACCCATTCACTGCAGAGCATCTTTTCCCATAAAGACACAATCTCATCTACATCTTGGATGGCCTGTGGATGAGTACATTTTCAGACAGTTTTCATTTCATTTCAGGCCAGTTAAAACAGAAAGAGAAAACCATATACGTTCTCAGATTAAACATGTTTTATTTAGTATATGTGAAATTCACAGCTTAGAGCATTATTTGTACTGCACTGGATTTTGACCCCACTGAAAGATGCATGTTATTCCAAAAGAAAAGACTCTGTCTTCTTAATCTTTCACAAAATATATGAACTTTTACTGACTTTTTTTGTATTCCTTTCCAACCACCTGTAAATTAGAAGCTGTTCACAATCTAATCAATTACTTGCGTAGTGCCATTAAAAGTTCAGATTTAAGAGCTGCATTGTCGGCTGACGTCTCCGTTTGCGTGTCTGGGCTATCTGAGGACCGAGGAGTCGCGGGGGTGCAGCAAAAACAGCAGGCCGCTGATGAGACGACCACGCATTAGCAGCTTTACCGGATTTATTCTTCATATTTCAGTGCGAAATTCACTTATTTTGGCTCGAAATAAGATACCCAACACGCATAAACTGGGTGGTGAAAATAAATAGACGACAAGATTGGAATATAGTTAAGCACTGCAGGAGCATCAGCAGACGCGACTTACTCCATTGCCCCTCGAACCAGAAGTCCAATCTAATCAATTCCTAATGGATGAAATCAAATCCCACCCTACAAATTCTCCTGGTTTCACTCAGAAACTTCCTAATTGGTTGACCTCTGGCTGTCTAAGATCTCAAGATATACATTTTAGACGTTATGCAAGGGACACATTCCAAGTAAGCATAAAAACACTTTAATCTGCCATATATTCTCCCAAAAATTCCTACAGCATGTTTATAATTATTATTCTACAGCAAATGTGACAACATTTAGTGTCTCCTGCTTTTTAAAGAGATAGTTCACCCAAAAATTAAAATTCACCCTCATGTCGTTCAAAACCTGTAAGACCTTCGTTCATCTTCAGAACACAAATTAAGATATTTTTGATGAAATACGAGAGCTCTCTGACCCTCCATAGACAGCAAGGGTAAAGATCAAGTCACAGAAACATAGTAAGGACATCGTTAAAATAGTCAGGAAAATGAAATCAGTATTTTCATTTTTGGTTGAACTATCCCTTTAAAAAGTCCTATGACAAGTTTTTTTGAAGTTCAGACTGCATAGGTCCAGGTTTTCACCGTGCAGGACCTGCAGTGTGTAATGGCCTAAAAATAGGTGGGAATGTGCAGTACTTCATCACTGGGCACAAACTCCTACTGTGGAGCTTATGGGAACAGCTTGTTTTAAGTCAACATTTTGGACTTCACTCAGAGCCCCAACATGAGCTGTTCGCTGTCAGACTTTACATGGAGCGGTTTTATTCAGTGAACTTGGTTGCTTGTTTTTCGCATTTTCCTCTCATTTTAGAGGGTTCATTTGAAAGAAACCATTTCTTTGATGTTAACCAACTGATCAGTAGCTTTACAATTGGATATTAGATGATCGCTGGAAGATTCTCCAAAAAAGATCTTGTATTATTTGATCAATAATCACCACTGGCATGGCAAAACCACGTCTGCATTTCATGTCCGGCCCGACACCAGGTTCTTGCATAGGTGTGTTTCAGAGAGACACATACTTGACTTTGCAAGTGTGTAACCTAACTGTAAGTGTTGTTGCCATTATCACCTATTTTGAGCATTTTAGAATAAACTACTGTCACTGATGTTTTATAGATGTATTGAGAAATATGTTTGTTGTACAAGCTCAAGCTGTATATTTATGTACTGAAACTGCTTTTTTAAAATTAAAAATCACAAACAGATGTTTCGTCTCCGGTGCCACCCAAATATTTAGTGCAGTGAGGTGTTTCTTGTTGCACTGATGCCCTCTAGTGTAATACCAGTGTAATGTTTACACTACATTGCGGTGTATAATGTCTGCTTTTTTTTTTTTTAGTATGTGACCAAATGAATTATACAATACATTATAAAAAGTAAATGCTTTAAGAGTATGAATTTAAAACGTGGTGTCCAGTTTTCTTATAAATATATTTAAAATGGCTCTGCTGGATTGTATGTAGTGTTGTTTTAGTACCATAGAGATGCTATTACAGTTTTTCTTAATATTGTGAATTGGTTTGCATTGATTTATTTATTCATTTTTACTATAGAGAGAGAGAGATGAGAAATGTTGCCTTGGCAAATGGCTGAAATTAAAAGTTAATTTTATGTTTATTTTATTTAAAGTACTGAATTTTTATGGTTTCAGTTTTAGTTAGCTATAATATTAGGTATAATTGTAGGTCAGTTTTGTGTAAAATGTCTATACCTTTGCCAATGTAATCAAATGATGAGTCAATTTATGAAAAATCACAGCTTATATAGAATGGTTCATTTATATTGGAAATGTATGGAAATGCATTGTATTTCATTGTATTGTATTTCAATGCATTGTAGTTTTTTTTTTTTTCAATTATAAATAAGATTGCTATTTAAAATGATGGACGGACATAAATGTTTGCATAAAGTTATCACAAGTTGTAGTAATGGAGGAAAGTACTAAGCATCTACAGTAGCATCTACCCAAAGGTTTAGACATTTAAAAATATAAAAAAACACAGAAATGAAAATGTTTTAAATGCTGAATCAATGAATGGATTGTTTTAATTTTACTTGTATTATAAACTTTTTTTTATTGTAATTGTAAAATGTTTTTGTTGTAATGTAAATTAATTTTATTGTATTTATATCTCTTAGTAATTAGGCTGGGATAATTTACTTTGGTTACCATGGGACATCTGAGAGCCAAACAAACAGTGCTGTCCCATAGTAAAAGCACTGCATTATTCATTAGCTGCTACTGTGTGACAGGCAGAGCACTTGCATGGAGCTACTACACCACCAGGTAAATGTCTATTTTAATATATCAATTAGCAAAGAAGATCTTCACCTGGCTGCTTATATCAAACATTTTAATATTATTCCATATATGTCAGGAACTAAAATTGTTTGACCTGACAACGGTTTAAAAGCTAAAATTAGAGTAACATGTAACATTTTGCTCAGGTAGAATGCATATATATTGACGTATTCTGTTACAGTGCAAGAAAAATGACATCTATACTGGAGGATGGCTTGATAAAAACAGGTTCAATAGAGCAGGTGGTGGCCCCTCTGTCCACTCACCTGTGTTACCTCATCCTACTGTGCGGGAGCGAGACAGAACTGGATGAATTCACCCGGCTGGAAGCTGCAGCTAAAGCGGTGGCCAAAGCATCCAAACACATGGCAGCTGTGGCAACAAGGTCAGCTGCATGAATTTTTCCTGACAGGGTAGAAGATGAACCATATAAATAAATACATTACAAAAATAAACGCTGACATGAAAGTTACTTTGCCTCATAAAAACAAAAACAGCTGTATATATCATTGACAAAAGTGCTTTGTTGCTTAAAGAAAAAGTACTAAAGTGGGGGGAATTAGGTGGTAATATGGTACATGTTCAAAAACAACAATGTTACTATGGGACATTAGCTTGGTACCAAAAACAAGGACTCAAGGTCCAACTCTTTAACCATTAGGCCAAGACTGCCCCTTAGCTGGTTCAGTTTAATTTAATTGAAGTTAAAGCTAAAAACTGCAGAACTGTCACTATCCAGGAAACTGATTTTGGCCTACATGGCCTTCATGGTTATATCTAGATCAGTGTTCCCAAACCTTGTTCCTAGAGCTGAGGTCTCCAGCCCTGCTCCTGGAAGGCTTCCGTCCTGCAGATTTCCGTCCCAAACCCAATCAAACATACTTGAACCAGCTAATCAAGGTGTTTAGGGTTATTTGATAATTACAGGTAGATGTGCTGGAGCAGGGTTGGAACTTAAGTCTGCAGGACGGTAGCTCTCCAGAAGCAGGGTTGGATTTCCCTTGCTGTTTTTCCACTGGGGCTGGTGCCGGAGCTGGAGTCGGTGCTTGGCCAAGAGTGGCACTCCTTCAGAACCAGCTCACATTTCCATGGCAAGAAGCAGAACCCTCTACATCACAAACATGTGACCGGAATCGGTTGTTACTTTCACGAAAGGAGAGCGCGGAGGTTTCTTCTGCCGACCACTGGTGTACTGACGTATTTAATTGTTGTTGTTAATGTGGTTAATTTACTTCAACTCAGACGTCCTTTCAAACTCCAGTCTGTAGTGGAAACTCCGCCTACTAATGTCATAGGTTCCCTTGTTCGAGATCAGCAAAGTTTCGGGTCCAGTTTGGAACGAGGATCTGGGCACAGGCCCAGGATTTTTTTTTTTTTTGAGTAGAAAAGTGCAGCCCAGTTCCCAATTGGTAATGGTGACTTGATTTTGGATATCTCCCTTATCTGACCCATCAATTTCAGGTCTTGGGAGTTTCTGTTAATGAGCTGATGAGTTTATTTATGAGTGTTTGATTGAAGAATATAAAAAAAAACGGTGTAGTGTTGGGCCCTGTCTCAAATAGCACATTTCATGTGTACTGGCGGACTTACAATGGCCGCCATGTGAACATGTCCATTAAGTCCATGAGGCTGTAGGGTGTACCATTCGTCATTTTAGCTTTCAGAAAGGTGCATGCAAGCACTACCTTTGCGGCCGCTATGCACCCTCGGTGAGCATTTCTGCCGAGCTCCATTGCAGACTTTTCCCCGACAGTCAAAG